ATAGTCTTCTGGTAAAGCCCACCAGCTGGTTCTGAATGACTTCATCGGTCTCACTCCCTGTCATGCATGGGTCGATTCCGAAGCGGCGGAAACACATTTTCGAACCCAAAGAGCGTCTCCAGCACCTGGTCCAGCGAGATGAAGAAGTTACTATGCGTGCTGCAACATCAAGGCGATCCCTAACAAAAGAATCGCACTGTTCTTCCAAATCCTCAGCTGAATTGGAAACCAGCTCATGTGCACGATAATCACACGTCTCACCATCCCACTCCTCCTCCTCCTCCTCCTCCTCCTCCTCCTCTGCATTGGAAACCAGCTTATGTGCACGATAATCACCCGCCTTACCATCCTCCTCCTCCTCCTCCTCCTCCTCCTGCTGCTGCTGCTGCTGCTGATTATTGGTGCTGGTATGGCCGTCCAAGTGTGCAAGGGTAGTCAATAGAACTCTGTCCTCATCGCGGTGATCATTTCTGACTTGATCTGCACACTCATCACAACGCTCACGAAGACCCCCATCACCACGGATGCCATCATGAAGGTTCGACAGACTCATTTCAGCAAAGAGTGTGACGTCATCGACAACACCAGCATCGCCATCACCATGACCATCCTTGCAGCAACGATTGCCTTCATCGTCGACATTGAGCTCAGACACTTCAGTCACAAGGGCTCTGCCATAATTGTGTCGAGCACTAGTATTGGCTAACTCCTCCTCGGGGTCATCACCCTGACCAAGACCATGCCCATTACTCTCATCTCCATGGCCATCATCCTCATCACTTTTGTTGATGTCATGGACACCGCTCTCGGTCAGTTCCATCGAGACAGATTCGCCATTGTCAGGACCACAGCTGGCAACTGCATTTCTGTAATCACCAGCATGACCATCATCTTCATCATCAAAATCATCATCATCATCCCTCACCTCAAGGCAAGACTGTGGGAGGACCTCAGAAACCGCTGAATCAGATGCCCTGTTATCATCTTTGACAGCAGGATGTGCATTGACGTCAGCGTCACCACTGCTCAGTGCCATGTCCATGTTCTGAGTGAAAACAGGCTGGTCATAGTCGTCACCAGCATTGTCACAGCCATCATCACCGCCATCATCACTGCCATCATCACCGCCATCATCACCACGGGTCGCCATCAGTACAGCCACCACCTCTTGCACAACAACCACAAAAGGGACCAGGGTATACCTCCTCAGGTATAGAGGCCTTGGCAAAGTATTCTGCTGCATGGGATTCTTGTTCATCGGTGCAGTTGCAGTACTCGGCGAACATAGAAGCAAGATCCTTTCCCGGACTCAGGGACGTCTTCAGAGACATGACGGTCCCAGGGTCTGAGAGGAAGGCGTTGAACAATTGTGGCTCCTTCTTAACCTTCTCCTCCTTCTCCTCCTTCTCCTCCTTCTCCTCCTTTTCTTCCGCCTCTACCATGTTAGACAGGATCGCCAAATGGTCCTCGGGGTGCTCGAACTGAAATGCACAAAATTGAATTGAATGTGATTAGAAACAACATGAAA